TTAACAAGGAGCATTGGCTTAGTTGGGCCGTAATGAAAATAAAGAAAATCGACTAAATACAAACCATTTACAAGAAGGGAAGAACGCGAGTGACCAGATCCACAATTATATATATATATATATATATATATATATATATATATATATTCAATAAACGATGGCAGACAGACCAAAAACCAACAGTGTTTTTCTTACATTACAATCTGTCATTGTTCATTCTACTCTCTGTCATCTAAACAATAAAAAATTCAAAGCAGACCAGTAGAAATTTTCATGTTGTTTGGTTGTACATGTCACATTTTCCAAGCCAAGCTGTATGTCATTCGTGTGGTCATGTCCAAAACGAGCGCAGAATGTTTGATTTTTCCTATTAGCAATTAAAATAATTGCAAAGACAGCAGCAATTATATTATGACTGCTGTATTAATGTACTAAATTGACATGTAAAGTGAATGCGTATGCTGGAGTTCTAAATGTGGTTGTGGAGATGATTAACCTATTGTCATAATGTAACAATGGAATGCTCTAGCAGCAGTAAGCTATACCTGTATATGTGTCAATTAATGTCTGTATAAACTTGCATCGCTGAAACTGAAGTTTTATTTCTATATTTCATCCTACTTTGACCGTTTTGAAATAAGGAAAGAAATATGAACTTATTCGTAAAATAAGGATATGTATATTACATAATTTTTGTGTAAGACATCATGTGCTATTGTATATATATATATATATATTGTACATTTGTGGCCTAAAATTCCGGAATAAATACCTCTTTCCATGCAATCCCCGATAACTTGATATGTATGCGTATTTTTGATTATTAACTCAAGTACCACAAAAAAAGGACAAACTTTATGAATATACAACATACTTTTTTCCACGCCAACATCCCGCAGACCAATGCTCGCTTCTCTCTGTCGCCTACAAGACGGGTATTTTGTCACACATGTATCATTAAAGATAGGTAACAACAAAAAAAAAAAAACAACAATTGTATTCACACGTCACAATCAATCATTGTTGACAAGAAACTTCACTTTACTAATATACTGAGACTATAGTAGACTTGTGAGCGTATTTCAGTGTTTTCCAGTTTAGCCGTTTGGGTGTAAGCATGTCGGGCAGGCCAACAAAATGGGTGCTTTGCTTCGTCATTTGTACAACGTTACTTTGTCGGTCTTACACAGAAGGGAAAAACCAATCTAGTGTAGCAAAAGGCGCTCTTTTCCTTATTGAACCAGGGAAATACTTGCCTGACTCTGTTTTGGAAACAGAAGAGCGGCAAAATGGGATAACTGCAATTGAATGTGGAGCAAAATGCCAGAGCAACCTTCAATGTATGTCTTTTAACTTGAGAGCACGCAGCTCGGTGTGTGAGCTGAGTTCCACCGTTGATTTCTCCCCCAACAAGTCGTCCCTCATAGACGATGCTGCCAGTCAACACTATACCAAGGTTTGTATGGTGGTCTGATATGATATTCTGGAATGAAATCTAATTAGAAAAAAACATGTTGGGTAAACATTTTCTTTGAAAGACACGTTTTATAGCATTTGGATCATGTAGAGGACGGGGAATTTATGTAGAATTGAAGGAGGTTAGGTTTTTAAGTCAAACACACAGTCCACAAAATAGTTGAATATTTTTCAGTTCAGTTATCCCTAATAAATCATCTCAATTTTTCTGATAAGAAAAATATTGATGCGATGCTTGTCTCATTTGGTCTTCATCTAGGTGCAGAATGGTGTTACTTCAATACATTTTTTTTTTTCATTTTCATATTACATAACTCATAATGCATCAGATACGTTATCAAAGGCGATACTCAGTTCCATTTTCCATTTTAGGTGCCACGCGACTGCGCTGATTATAGTGAGTCTTTAATATTAATACATATTTTTGTCAAGAATTCGTTTAATACTAAGACCTTTCAGAAAACCGCCAACAGTATAAGTAAACATTAAAAAATGTTTTTTCTGCATTTTAGCCCATGCCCTACATGTCGATTTCTGTGTGAACAGTCTGATGAATTACAATTAAAACGTAGCCATTATAAATTTGTCCGGTTGAAAATATGACATATTAGGGTATGTCTGACCAAAGAGCGTCGATGAAAGCATTGCATATTGTAGTGCCGGTCTCTTGTATGTTTTCCCATTCAGGGCGTTGTTTTTTTTTATCCCGTTAATCTGTTTCCGTTCATGTGCTAGTCTCTCTGCATATTTCCTTCGTCTTTTATTGTTTGAAATTTAGTCTCCCTGTATAAATTAGTTTCTTTAATTTCTTCTTTTATTTCTTAAAATTTATTCGATCATTTTTTTTTTTTTTTTTTTTTGAGATGGCGTGAATGGCGTCCATAATATTTACGTCAAGTCCATGGGAAAACAGCTCCGCGTGTCCTGTGAGGCCGGGTGGACGGTACTGATGCGTAGAACAGGGCCAGATCTCAATTTCAACAGGTATGCTTTGATCTTCACCGCCCCTTTCTCTGTGTGCGTGTTGTCATTAAATTACAAATTTATGTTTTTTTATTATTATTTAATGTGTGATATTATTGTTGTTACATGTAAGTGCGGCATTTTTCATCATTTTGAACTTTGATTTCTAAAATCAATCTTGACCAGGCTGTTCGCCCATGTCGTTTCTTCGACTCCGACGATGAAGAAGAATATAACTGATAGAATATAGTAATTTAATCTGAAAAATAGAGGTATCCTGCACTGGTAGGAATGGAAGGTAGGATATATAATCACTGTGAAATTATTTTAATTTTTACTTTATTCGCGAAGGTCCTGGACGGATTACCGTATCGGATTCGGTGACGTCACTGGTGACTACTGGCTGGGACTGGAAGCGTTTCATCATCTCACCTACCAGGGAAACTACTCCTTAATGGTCGAAGTAAGGAGTTTGCCAACTGACAATTACTACTGGGAAATCCACCACGGTTTTCGCATAGGCCCGGAATCAGAAAAATACGTTTTCAACGAATTTTCGCAAGGGGACGGAACTCTGATTCAGGATCCGGAATATTGGCCTTCACATTTTGGCATGCCATTTACCACCTTTGACAATGACAATGATGACGAAAACGACAGAGATTGTGCTGAACTGTTCCAGGGAGGATGGTGGTACAGAGAATGTACACTTATCGCACTCACAGCAAGAATGGCGACCACGGGCAACTGCACGCAGTTTTGTTTTGCGCACTTCAAGCATTTTGGCGTACCTAAAGGAGAGAGAGGTGTCAAGACCCATCTTCTTAACTGGGCTGTCATGAAGATAAAGAAAATTGAGTAAACTGAACTAGAGCCATGTTAATTTAGAGATTGTACAAATTTCAATATAACTCCTATCTCTACTCTATTGGCTTTCTTTTATATCCAATGTCGTACATGTAGACGTATGAAGTGGTCGTCGCAATTCGGGTATCTACCTCGCAGCTATGTCATATGAAAAATCGATGCTTGAAATACTTTTGCACTTCTTGTGTAAATTATGGCAGTTTGATCAGTGTTTGTTGTTGTGTCTGTTTAAGCCTGGATATGGCTTGGTATACATGTTCACGTAGAAGAAAGATTACTACATAATGTGAAAAGTAACCGACAACATGAAATCAATGATATTCAGGCCATGTTAATGATATAATTGGAATTTATAAAATAATAATATTATTATTATTATTATTTCTATTATTAATGTTTAAATTCGGAAAAAATCAACTGCATTAATGACCTTTGCCAAAGGCAAAACGCATTCGATAAGAGTACTATTTCTACCGACTAAATTGTGGTTAGCAGTATTGTCTACCAAGATCAGTAATGGATACGCACGTTGTTTTCTGTACGCAAGCCTACCCTTTGCTCACGTACTATGGAAAAGAATTTCAGCGCAACCTGCATTTTTGCGTACAAAAACGCAACCTGCATTTTTACATTACATCTTTCTAAATAAGTTGAACACTGAACGTAAAGTCTAACTACTGGGAACAATTGACCTCCTTTATATCTGGGACACAACCACATACTTAATGATTAACAATAAATAATAATAATAATAATAGCGAAAACATGGACTTTACTAGCATTCTGAGTACAATTATGTTATCCATTTGAAAATTGCAATGGAAGGAGTTTGCCAATTTGTCATCATGCACGAAATAATATCAAAATAAAATTGCGATATTCATGGATATTCGCAAATTTAATCCCCAACGTCATCAGTACATGGCACCAGCCGAGAGACAGCGCGTGTTAATTATATCATCAATTTCATTTACTTAGCAACAAAAAACAAAATACAGCAACCCGCATGTAGCTATCAACCACATGTTTAACGACACTGGCTTTCAGCTGTTAATCTGTTAATGGCTGTAATCCGTTATGAAGTGGCATACAGATGATTATATATATATATATATATATATATATATATATATATATATATATATATATATATAAATCAAGGATACGAATAAATTAGACTTTTCTCTCCATTTTATTAAAAAATGCCCTACGGCCGTTTCGGCCCTGAGGCCTGGTTTTGTTTTGTTTTCGCCCCTGACGAGGCCTCTGGGCCGAAACGGCCGTAGGGCATTTTTTAATAAAATGGAGAGAAAAGTCTAATTTATTCGTATTCTTGATTTTCTATACCAGCTCCCCACGGTCCGCCACCATGGGTGGAGCACTTTTTCATGGTGTATTGACTTTATTCTCCGATATATATATATATATATATATATATATATATATATATATATATATATATATATATATATATATATATATATGCACCAATGACCATGGGACATGACCAGTTTTTCAACGACGATTATTACTTGGGAATACGGCCCTCCCCACTTCCCCATAGCCTTTAGATTAAAAAAAAAAAACAAACTGGTTATCAATTTGCACTGTGTTCTTTTGATATGTCCCAGGGGAGATACCGTTAATAGCTGAACAATGTTCAAACGATTAGCACCAGGATATGTTCTTTAAAAGTCACGTGTATAAGTGTTCTCATTACTATATGGCTATGCTTTATTGACATTATCATGCTCATTGTTAAACCACATTTGATTCTGAATTATTATATAACTGCAAATTGGTGAAGCAACAGATAACAGGGTCAGAGTATGGTATTGGGACCGGAAAATTAAAGCAAATTGTCCAGAAACCCTGAATACGAGCGTGCTTGAAAGGTGCCACTTGCATGATCATAATCAAAACACAATGGCCCAGGTGCTTAGTTTACAGAAAACAAATGGCAGGGCTCAGTATTGCCAAGACATTGTTCATTTTTGGTATATCGGGAGTGTCTTTGCTGCTCATATTGACTCCCTCCCATAAAACCCTAACGTCATTTTTGTTAGCGTCCAAAAGAATCTTACCGGCCTGACTGACATTCGGGATCACCAGAACAACGGGTGAATTAGATGGGGCGACACCAACAAGGCTTCTTAGGAGCTCCATGCAGGCCTCTGTATTATCTGCATAGAGGGGAGCTATAAGATATCCTGCTAGAACTGGTCGGATTGTCCCATAGCCTACAATTTTGCCCCTCTCTAGTATGACCTTTGTGGTTGAACCCTTTATACTGCAGAAAGTCTTTAATACATGTTCCCTTGACAAAACATGGTAAGAAGTATCGTAGTTCACCAGCTGATTCCAGTCAACATCACGGCTAGCTTTTATTTCGTACTTTGACCCAGCGCCTGGAGAGACTGGGATATGTTTCATAATCATACTGTAAGATGCAAAACCGAACTTCCCTTTTACGTACCCATGTCTTTCGTACAGTGGCACTGCTGGAAGAGTGGCAATGAAACTTATTGTTCTGGCCTCTGCTAATTGGTGTGCCTTCCTTAACATTGCGCTCCCTGAGGAAAACAAACAAACAAACAAATCACGAAGGGTAAATCATTTCAAAACACATTGCTCATTTTTATGAAACTTTAATCTCAACTATAAAGAAAGATTTCTAATCATTATTATTACAAACTGCAACTAAAAGTTATGTCAGTAAAGTGAGTGAAACAATATTTGGAGACTGTATCTCTTAGTCTGTATCTACTCACCAAAGCCTTTATGTCTATGCTCCGGTTTAACGATCAGGTAGTTTAGAAAGCTGTTTGTTTCGCTAAAATTGTAAAGCGTAACGAAGCCTGGAATGTGAAAACAAAATTAAAATTTAGTTAGAAGATATACAGATCCCTTCTACTATACCGTGTGTGTGTGTGTGTGTGTGTGTGTGTGTTAAATATGCTTTAACAGTTTCAATTTTAGGGAGAATCAAACTGGGATTTTGCTTAGCCAAGATTCATACACAAGGAATTTAGACATTGTTGGGGCTTTTTAACATTGCTACAAATCCGATGCATTTCAGTGAATTAAAGAAAGAACAAATGAAATGAAAAAGAGTTAAATATATTGTGACCTGCGATTTTGTGTTTCAATGTTTTAAAATTAGTTTTAAACCTTACTGCGACTCATTTTACCTACGACAACACCATCGTATTTCGCCACCAACTGCCCTTTTCCAGCCAGACGAAACGTTGCCTGTAATATATCTCGACTTTGGTCCTTCCAGCCTTCCTTTACAAACATTTTCAACATGTCGTCTGCCTCAACAAATGTTCTTTTATCAAGGACTAACGGGGTTTTCGATGTGCTGCACATCATGCTGCCTTACTCAAGGTGAATTTTGGTTCAATTGGCCCTTATATAGACTACACCAAACGTGTGGGTTTTTCCGTGTTTTGACGCAAGCAATTTCTACACATAACGTGTGGGACTTGACCTGTGACATCTGTATTTCCCACGCATAGGATTTCGTAAAGCGGGTTGGTCTCATTTACATCATTAGAACTTATATTTTTACTGTATAGTCAAATGTTCACAAGCTCAACGAAGCTCTGTTCTCGCTCAAAAGCTAAATAGGTCAGGTCCATATAGCTGGAAATTATCATTTATTAAAATGACGAAAAAATAATATGTTACAAAGCTACAAAAATGGGGGGGGTGATCAAAACAATATCAAATTTAACTAGGACCCATACATCCCCCCCTCACAATGGGGCAAAAAGATATGATACAAAGTTATCAAAATGGGGAAATAAATAAATGTCCGTGGCAACTGAACAGTATGAGGAAAAAACTAGATAACGCGTTTGAATAACTAGATAACGTGACTAGATGACTAGTTAAAGCGTCATATTATATTGTGAACATTTGACTATACAGTAAAGATATGAATTCTATTGATGTAAATGAGACCAACCCGCTTTATGAAATCCTGTGTGGGAAACACAGATGTGACAGGTCAAGTCCCACATGTTAGGTTATGTTGCGTAATGCAATACCAGTATATATATATATATATATACACTGGTATTGCATTACGCATATATATATATATATATATATATATATATATATATATATATATATATATATATATATATATATATAATATATATATATATATATATATATATATATATATATATATATATATATATATATATATATATTAAAAATGAAAACGTTCTTCCTGTACCGACCTGTTTCTTTCTTTCTTCAGGGGGTTTTTTCCCCTGAAGAAAGAAAGAAACCGGTCTGGGCAAGAAAGTTGCTGTTCTTCTTTTTTTTTTATTATATACATATATATATATATATATATGACAATGGTGTCATAAAATCCTGTTTAAGTTATATCTGTTCGAGTTAAAATAGGGCTTTGGTTTGTGAGCTTTTAGGTTCTAAGGTACATAAAATACATTAAAGCCGGTTGAAAAGGTTTTCTTGTACATGTGTTATATCCCCACTTTGGTCTTTCCAACCCTTTTTTCCAGACATGTTCCAAATATAGTCTGCATCACCAGTTGTTTCTTTATCAAGGACTAGACATTTCATGTATGGTGAAAAAGTAAACTTTGTTGTGATATATCCTGTGTTTTTTTTTAAATTAATGTGCAAGTCCCCACCTACCACAAGCTGTCTATGGACATTATTGCGATAGCGGAGTTATCTGCCAGCTTTGTTAAATGTTTACTATCGCATTAGCCACACCTACGTCATAGAATGTAATGGCCAAAAGAAAAGAATGGCAGGACAGTGTGGAGTTCAATCGTATAGGATTCGCAAGGCGATCGCGAGTGATGATCGTATTATTTGTAACATAATATTCAACGAAGGTTGGAAAGAGTTCAGTCTGCGTATGATACAGGCGACGTTGAAAATATCCAAGGATGGCTGGCTTATAGCTGAAATAGACGGGAAAATCGTCGGTAAAAAAGTTATAGAAATCGTAATACCTAATATAAGAACTTCGAAAAAGTTTATTATTAATATTATTATTATTAT